CCCCCCCAGTCGCAGTCCCTCCTCTGCCTTAGGAACTGGCAGTTTGCAAAACGAGTCAGGCCGACCAAACCACGGGGAACAGCAGTTTTGCTTAATTAAATCTCCCTTTAAAAGCACCTGGGGAGACTTTCTGGGTTAAGAGATTTTGTGCCAAGTGTTTTTTTTTTTTATTTTTTTACATTTTACATTTTAATTTAGTTACCAGATCTTTGAAGGGGGACGGGGCATACATAAACTAGCAATCTGCTCAAAGTCGCAGATAATGTTAGCGGAATCAGACTTCAAGTTTGTCAGAGTCAGACGGACAGAGCTCTGTTGGTTTTAGGCACATTTCTCCCATCTGTGGGGGCAGACATTCGGGGACAGTTCTAGATGCGCTCAGGTCCCCGAGTGACCAGATGAGGCGCAGGGCTGCCGGGAGTGCCTGGCCTTGGTGCGGGACCGTCTTGTGCTGGGGGGCTCCTCCCACTGGAGGCAGGATCGCTGAGGCTCCCGTGTCACATTAGGAGCGTCTCATTCCGAAACCTACAAATTAATGCACAACAAACTAATCACGCCCCCGCCCCCCTGTCACACATGGGTGAGGAAAGGCCAATTCTTTTCCAACCTTCTAGATTTCAAGATGAGAAACCAGCCAATTCTGCGGAGCTCTCTTGCCTCCAGCCTCAAGCGCTGGCTGGAGACCCCTTCTCAGGAGCCCGATCATCCAGAAACCCACAGACATCACTTCCTCCTTCCTCTTCCCACTCACTTGCTCGCATTAACCAGCGCCCCTGGCTTATCCTTCACGTCGCGATTCAGGGACAAGGCGAGAGATCCCCACAGAGCAGGCAAAGCCAGGCCACCGGCTGAGCGCTGGCTGCTCTGAAGACGTACCTGGCCGCGGCCCTGGGGCCCCTGAGCCGCACTTACTGGGCTGCTACCATCAGCCTAGTGCCTCGCTCAGCACTGCCGACTACCATTCCTGGTCCTCAAACAGCAAGGGTGACAACAGCAAGCGGGGACGCAGACCCGGATGCAGACCCGGTGGAGAGCAGAGAGCGGGGCCAGCTGGTGCGCAGAGCCCCGCGCATCCTGCCCCACGCCAGGTTTCTGCCGACACCTGCCATCGGGGACGCTGGGAGGCGGAGGGATGGCAATACTTTTTTTGTTTTACTTTAGAGAGACAGAGAGAGAGAGCACGAGCGGGGGAGAGGGGCAGAGAGAGAGAGAGAGAGAGAGCGAGAATCCCAAGCAGACTCCACACTCAGCAAGGAGCCCAACGCGCGGCGCGATCCCACGACCCCTGGGATCACTAGCCGAAATCAAGAGCCAGACGCTCAACCGACTGAGCCACCCAGGCGCCCCCGGAATGGCAGTCCCCGAGGTGCCCTTTGGACACAGAATGACAGTGTTTGCTGCTTCTCCTCAGGCCGGGGCACTTTAAATAAACACAACCCACACATTCTTGTGT